TTAATACAGGTTAAAATGTATTTAGTTGAGGAGGTTGTGGAGTCTTATAGCGCAGAATTCTCTAATAAACCTAGATCAAATCTGTGTAGACACACAGAATGCAAATAGAAGTCTTATTTTTATAAGATAGTCTCTTTTTTTAAAGTTATAGCACAAACTAGTTGGGTTATAGCAAATACGTTTGTATGTGTGCGTCTGCTTTGGCTATTTAAAAAATTTCTAGAGATATCAAAGTCAAAAGCAACTCCGACCAAGAAAATAACGGAATCAAGAAACCCTTAAGGTCTCAACAAGGGTTCATTCGAATAACTTAAATCTGTATACTAATTTTTATTAAAATAAATATTCTTCAAATTGATGCCTAAATGGTAATTTTAATTTAATGGTGAATTGAATATATATTTTAGATATATATATATATATAAGTTTATATTTATATACTGTTTAAGTTTTGCCTTTATAGCTCTTCTTGATTTCATTAAGTTGAATACATTTCAGATGCTTCTAAATATGCTACCTTTGAATTGTCTTGAATGCCACTAAATATGAAGATTTTAATCTGAATGCCTCAAGGTTAGTAAATTTCAAGGTTGTTCAAGTAATTACTTTGTTCTTCAATTTTAAAATGCCTTAGTATAAATTATTTATTTAATTGATTAATTTAAAACACCTTTTTGACATTGCAGAGATGCCTGACTAAGGCATCTGCCCTTCTTTAAACGGCAAATCCTTCAATACTGTGCATATCTAGAATGCAGAATCATTAAATTGTCTCAACACCTGGAGTGCTTATATAGAGAATTCACTGACAAATGATATCCAATTTTTTATATTTGTTGGATATTAACATTTAAAGCCAGTAAAAAAACAACAAAGAAATCAAGCAGGCAATTGATTGCAGAATAAAGATTGAAAGTACATGAGCTTGTAGATAGATATTGTATCTAAAAATAATATTTAAAAAATGCATCTTCGTTAATATCAACGTGATAAATGATATTTCCTAGAATCACTGAATGAAGTGCAATGAAACTATAATACGTGCATAGTATTAAAAAAAATTTATCTTAAAAATAAAGTGTTCAAATGTTTTGAAAGATATTAAAGCAAAAATTTTGCTGTCTGAGCTCTGTCTGAATCTGATATATGTATAACTTCATTTTTATTAAACCTATGAAAATTACCTCATATTTTCATAAGTCGAACTTTTATAACTCGAATTTTCTATAATTCGAACTAAAAAGAGTGCAACAGGGTTCAGAGAGCAAATTATATACAATTACAAAAAAGTCTTTTAACTTTCCTTAAGTCGAACCTTTTCTTTGCAAAATGTTACTTCGAGTTATGGAAGTTTGTCTGTATTATTATATTATTAGTATAGTATTAGTATATTATAGTATAATAATAATAGTAAATACTATAGATTAGGTTTAATATTTGTAGTATCTTGATTTTTCGGATAAATCCCTGTTAAGATTGCTTGATGATTTGACTTTATTGCTTGGTCAAAACAATTTAGTGCTCATCATGATATTATAAATTATTTAATTTAGTCTTTTATTTTATATGAATTTAAATTTTTATTATTTATTTATTTTATAAAATTAAATACACATATAATTAAAACACTTTGTTTACTTCATATAGTAAATATACTCTTATGGTAGTCATATTGTATATATAAAAAACATTGTATTGGTAATAAATTGAACTGATGACCCAATAAACTGGCTCAATAGTGTTTTTAATTTTCCAACCTTACAGATATGAATTATATTATTAAAATTCATTTTGTACAACTAAAAAGTTTAATTAAAATATTTGCAATATTAATATAAAATAAAAATGCTTATATAGATAAAATATTTAATATTAATCTTTTTCGATAAAATATATTTGGAAGCTTACATTATTTCAATTACCATTACACATGTTCTATTTATTCTTAAAATACAATAAAATAAAATAAAAGAAAATAAAAATAAAAATGAAATTTAAAATATATAAAATCGAATGCGAAATGCATTCAAATATGAAATTATTTGAGTTTTTATATAAAATAGGTGAATGGTAAAATGACAAAAATTAAAATACACGTTTATCTAAAAAGGCCAAAAGCAATTAAAAATATTGCAATTCTATGCAAAAAATTAAATCAAATAAAATATTTGAAAAATGCCAAAATACCAAAAAATTAAATAAACAAGAAAAAAAGTGAGGTAAATAAAATAACTCAGCTCAACTGCAGAGTAAAACGTTTTTTAAACTGCATAATACTAGTAATATCGAATTTAGGGCCTCACGCCCGCACCGCTAACGGCCCACTTAATATATGCAATGTACGGTACGCTGGTACGCTCATATAACCGCTCATATAACGAAAAAGAGTTCGAAAAAAATGTTTGATAGCAAAAATGTAATTTTATCAGGCAGACACACTGGCACTATGCAAAATAGTAGTATCTGTTACTGTATCTCACAGTGGTGCCAGTGCCACTGCCAGTTCCAGTATACACCACACAAAACAACAACAAAAAAATGGAGTAGAAGAGGTGATTGCATAGTAGTTTTTTGCCTTTGAAGTACACAAATTGACTGAGCCAAGGTTACTTTTGGTATTGAAATGCAATCAATCGTAATTTCATATAAAAATGTCCAACGCGGCAAATAAATATATGCACAAAACCAACCAAAAGAACCTAGAATATCAAAAAAATAATATCAGAAAAAGCTCACTGAAAAATATTTGCGGTGAAAAAATTTGTGAAATATTTTTTTTTTTTATTTTGTGTTTTTTTTGTATAGATTTTTAGTGCGCTAACAACAATTTTTGTAACACTTCCGTCGACGCCATTGCAATAAAAATGGAAAAATGGCGCCAATGAAACGGACGGCAAACGTGAGTAAGCAAAAATTTATCAATTATTTATAAAATATTCTCACAAAAAACAAACAAAAAAATAAAAAACATAAATAAACAATATTTTTGCAAAACGACAACAAAAATTTAATATTAAAAGAATTTTCAAATGATCTGAAATACTTCAATTCATTAAGCATTTTTGTGCCAAAATATGAAATGTATCTAAACAGCATCCTGCACCGAACTGCAAATCCATTTCGAAACTCTTATTTAATAAGAAAGAAAGCACAATTTCAGTATTTCATTTATCAAAATAACAAAATATATTGCACAAAATATTTGCTTTATTAAAATATCTGAAATCTGCAAAGTGCACAAAAAGATACACAAAATAAAACACTAAAAATAATAGTTAAAAACATATAAAAAATATGTCAAGAGTCATAAAGTGAATATCTACAAAATACTAAATTGACTAAGTTATCAAAAATTCATATTTATTTGCAGATACTTGTTAAATTATATTTAAGTAGAATGTAAAATTCATTTTCGAATACATTTATTTATGTTTAATGTCACTTCAAATGGCAAATTTATTAGGTTTGCTCGTAAAAGAACTTACATAAATAAAATTTGAAGTTGAATTTTATTATATTAAACATTTAGAAAAGTATTTAATTAAATTATATTAGAAAATTCAATTTAAGAATTTAAATTCATTACTTAGATAAAATATCATGTTATGCATCTGCAATTTATTACTGATACTCGTATATGGTACTCGTATATGGAAAAAACTCATTACGACAAATGGAAATGAAATGAAATTAAAAATTATAGCAAGTCAGTCTAGTAAACAAGATACGTTCTTCCACAAAGAAGCAATTATAGATCAATAAAAAATTTTGATACAGTAGCGCTACAGCATTATCAGTCAAAAAGACTGCCAACTATAGTTAATGTTTCTTTTTATATCGCCAATAAAAATAAAATCTGTAGACAAACACCTAAACAGTCTGTATGTAACATAAATGATGAAATAAGAAGGGAGTCTTTAAGCAATAGATATATACACTGATAGACTTTAAAGCCACTATAGCATATGTAGCTTAGCATCACATTTCACAGATAAAAGTTAAATAATAGAAGAAGAAGAAGTGTACTGTAAAGAATTTGGTTTGACGGTTAGGTACGTAAACCGTTAAAATAATTTGTTAAGTAACAAATAATATAATAAAAATAGTTAATTAATAGTAATAAATATTAAAGTATTTATAAATAAATAGTATAAATAGTATAGAAATAGTATTAATAGTAAATTTAAGACGTAGAAGTAGACAGGCACTATATAGGGTGCCATCGGGACTATGTGGGATGTCCTAGGTAATATCTTAAATTTTCGTTTTGTATTTTACATTTCAACCTTTACTTTTCCGCATAGGGCTACATCACAATAGCTGTCTATACCTGTCATTTTAAAATGATAAATTAAATTTACTTATAGTCTTCTTAATTAAGAAATTAATTAAGAAATTCGAATATTTCCTAAGACCACTTATGATGAGTATTTGGTAATACTCGAAACAGCGTTGT